GTAATTCTCAAGTCAGTCTTGTCGTTATGCCCTGTGGTAGTTTCGTTTCTTGTTTATCGTTTAAGCTTAAGCATAAGCCGTGTGTATGTTATGTCGTTCATCAAGGAACAGAAATATTGTTTGGTAACACTAAAAAATGCTGAGCTTGTTTTGTGGACAAAAAACAGAGGATACTGTTTTTTAAACTTGAATTGTTTAAAGAAAAACGTAATACGGTTGACAAAAACGTTGTTTAGTGATCTTAAAATGTTTATAGAATTTGAAAACAGAGACAGCCATAAGAAGTGTTCCAAAACCTGTTTTTAAGTTTAGTTGGGGACTTTGGAGTGCTTATGGTCAGTGTATCAAATTTTAGAGAATGTAAGTCAATACTTAGGGAACATATTGCTTTAATTTTTTTCTTAGAAGTTGATCAAACATGAGATCAAGTATATGTTGATCGATAGAGAATATTTTTCCCAGCAAAAGAATGTAACAATCTATGAATAAATGAAGTGTATGGTGAAATAAATGGGTTCAAAGTATGGTGAGACGTGTTGCTCAGTTCTTAACCCTTTTTCAAGGATTCGATACTATTATATACCTTTATGAATCGGTCAGTTTACGTTAATATTCGTCCGATTTTGTTACATTGCGATTGCAACCGTTATCGCATACTGCAACTGTGAACGATGGTTCAAAGTCCTCCACGGTATCAACATTGTCAAAAAGATCTCTTGCTTGGCGTATACATGTGTGTGTATATATATATTCTGGCAAATTAGGGAAGGGAGGACTCAAACACGGATAAAAATTCGGGATGCAAGCCTAACATCACAACATTTTTTAAATGTGCATTACTAACTTAAGGGGACCGGTTTACTGTTGCGCAAGAGAGAATTTTAGTCCCTCAAACACTAGCACATTCGCTCGAAGAGTTGGTCGCTCTACTGACTGGGCACTGGGTAATACCCATAGAAAAGCTTGATATTACCCAACCAAAATTGAGTACAATTGCAATACCTTACAATTTTCCACACTAAGTTTCTCTCTATACGTTTTTTAATTATACCTCAGGGTCATAGAATTCTTCTAGTTTTGGTGTATATGATGAAAATATCTGTTTTTCGGGTAATGAAATGAGATACAAGGTAATGACGAAAGAAAAAATGGAAATATAACAAATAGAAAACTTATTAGAGCATCCACAACTGGCTCGGAAGGCCCTTTCAGCGAGCCAAACAGCTCAGCAGCGCTCTACCAGCCTAAAGTAAAATAGGTGGGCTCATAAGGGCTCGCGGTATTCCATGAGTCCAAGCCCGATCGCTGTAATTTTTTTTAGTCTTATTCGCTGCCAAAACAGAGTCGGTTTTTGGGAACTTTTTTCTTTTGTTTTGAAATCAAACAGCAAGGTCAATAAACAGTGCCTTATTTTGAGCTCTTTGTCCAAAAAGAAAATTGATTTGGGCAAAAAATAAATTAAAAAACCTTTTTATTTTTTGTTTTTTGCCTTAAAAATTATTTTTATAAAACTTTTTTTGCTTTAAATTTTAAAATTTTGCCACAATCAGTGCATTTGTAATCCTTAGTCTATTTATTTTGTTATTCCAATTCAGGATATTGTATTGTTTAAGTTATTTTTAATTGTTTTGTTTTATTTATTTAATTTTATTTTTTGTCCATAATAGATAATATATTGTTTAAAGTTATAAAAGTAATCCTAACTTTTTTTAATAATTTGCAAAGATATTGTTTGATTGAAAGAGAAACAATTTCACCATTTTTAATATTAATGGTTAGGAATATAGCAGTTGAAAATGTCGTCGTTATGAAAAAGTTAAAAAAATAATAATAATTAATTAATAATTTTTTTTAGAGAGCTAGTATGATGGAATGCCTATTTTCGGAAAGCAAAAGCTGTGATGTGACTTTTGGAATTGCTGACATGGGATGGTGAGGATGTTGTTTGCAACTAACAGCTAGAAGGAGAGTGATATGAAGGCGGATAGAGTTAACAATCTGTCGTCTAATCAATCACAATGCGCGATTCAAACCCTAGAAGAAGGTGTCCGGTTAGCAAGAGAGTAGAAGAAATTTTTGGGTCTGTTTGAGATCGTAAGTTAACACTATAAAAGAGGAAGAATTAAGATCGTTTTAAACAATCCCAAAGCATGTAGAAACCCCTGTAAATCTAAATTATGATTGTGTTCGGGCAGGAGAGAAGCTGAGAAATTTTTGTTTTTCGCTTTTTTATCTATTACAAGTCACGAGTCTGTCAAAATGGGGTAGATTGAAGAAAATTCTACAAGGGGAGAGAGTTCCGTAGAATTTGTAAGTAGATAGACATACAAAGCTCTAGACAATATATCTTATTAAACTAACCCTAGTAAGAAGAATGCCTATATATAAGTGGTGGATGTATCATTTATAGTTATCAAGTGGTAAGAGTGATTTTAGTGTCAAGGTGAAACTGTGAATGCCTTTCTTGCTTCATCATCAAATTTAAAGTTTGAAGAGGAAAGTAAGTATTATTAAATGATGTTTACATATCTTACCCAGGATTTAAAAAGGAATATAGCGAGATATTGATTTCGAAGATGCCACTGAAGCCGTTTTTCATTTTATTAAAGTTTTTTTTTTTTTGATAAATTATTTTTATTTTTAATTTATTTTAAAGTTTATTAAATGTACGTGATCATTTCATTATTACTGTTTTAGTGGTAAGATAGTATTTCATTATTGATTAAATTGTGTCCAATTCTAAGTGACATAATTTGTGAAAGGAGTAGCCATTCTTCGTGCGCCCTGAACTCTCAAATTTTGAGTTAAGCTTGAGGATTCATATTTCCAATCCGCAAATCGTTACATGCAAATATATTTGTATGCTAATATCTCTTTATTTAGGATGTTCATATGAAAAGTCAAAACAAAATAATATTATTTTTTTATAATTATTCTTTTAAGTTTTCAAATACTAAAAACCTAGTAACATACCTATTTGAATTTAAAATAATAAGTTGATAATTTTAAAAGAGAAATAATGTATTAATTGTGTGTTCGATTAAAAAGTCCTAATAACAAGTAATGCATTGTTTCTTAAAAAGTCGGGTGGATGACTAATATAGATAGAAGGATTAGTAAAAAGCAAGTAAGAAAGCAAGCCAAGCACATTAGGAACTAGGCTAACTTTTAGCACTTGTGATATATTGACAGAGTTAAAATATTTAACTACTTCGTATAATTAATTAAAACAATTATAAATATATATTTAGTATTAAAAATTCATCAAATTAAATTGATATATTTTTTAAGTGGAACAAATATATATAACTAAATACGGACGCTCTTGCTCTAAAAAAATTTAGACTTTGACGCTCTCACGCAGCCACGCCATGCTCCCACCCTCTCGCTCTGTGTGACTTTAGGTCCAATGACCTTAATAATTTTGAAATGTATATGCGTAATCATTGGAATAATTGACGTTTGGATAAGAGAGAAAAGTGTATTATTAATTCAATTCAATTTAATATTTTTTTTCTTAGTTGATATACACGAAAATTATTTACTTAGATGTTCAAACCTAAAACGCGATGCTTCATGAGGCCACCCAAATTCACACCCACTAGGCTAACCCGTGATATTAATTCAATTTAATATTTATTTCATCATTCGAAATAAAGGAATGCATTATTCAGGCATGTTTGGGAATTGCTTTTGCTTCATGTTTTTGTTTTGACCCACAAGAGATGTTTATTTTGGGGGTTTGTTCAATAATATTCTACTATTCAAAAGCATGTTTTGTTCAAATTATTGCTTCCAATTTTGGTCTCGAGAACATTTAGCTACTAGTCAAATGATACTAGTAAAAGTTACCAAACATAGAGGAGCAAGAAAACAGGAAGCAGAAGAGGGTGCGAGTCTTCTGAAGTGGGTTCCCATGTGGTCCCCTGCAGTAAGCTCCTAAGTGGTCTATATTTGACCACGTGCTGCTTCATTTAATAGCTCTTCAGGTCGTGTTTGTCAATTACACCACCATTTATAAATAACGTTTCACTACCATCTATAAATAACATTATATGAGTTTAAAAAATAATATTACCATTTGTAAAAAAAGTAACATCACTACTTAAAAAGTAAAGATGGTTGACAGCCAAATACCTCATAATCCCCTTCAAAATCCTCTTTAAATTAACATGTGGCTATTTTTTTTTTATGTTCTATTTTTTATGATAAAATTTAACTTAAAAAATATAAAAATAATATGTTGAATTGAGTTAAATTTATGTGTGATTATTAGTTTTTCAGCATTATATGAATACCTTTTTTTGATGGTGAATGTGTGAGTGTGGCAATTAATATTACACTTTGCCAATTTTTTTTCAAAGATATGTAAAATAATTTATACCTAAGTGATTTTTTTTTTTTTAATATTTGGAAGAAAAAAAAAATGTGACTCTTTTCATTATTTGTTGTTGTCTAAAGTTAATCCAAGTGACTTTAATCATGGTTTAAATTCTTTAAATTAACTTGTTAAAGTATTTTTAAAATATTTTAATTTCAAATAATAATATAAATGATACGTTCAATTGAGTTACGTTTATATGTGAAATTATTTAGTTTGCATTATGTGCATACTTTATTTTGAGAGTGAGAATGATTTTTACTTTTATTTTAAGTGGTGATGTTATCCTCCTATAAATGATGGTATTACTTTTTAAACTCTTATGATATTATTTATAAATGACGGTGAAATGTTGCTTTTAAATAATGATGTAATTACCAAAGACAATCTCAATGTTTTTTAAATGAAAAAGCACGTGGCCAAGTATAGATCACTTTCAACACACTGCAAGAGAATACATGGAAATCTCACTTAAATCATTGTCATTATACACCAAATTTTTTTTTTTTAAAAAAAGAAGTATACACTAATTTAATGCCTTCTAAAAATATTTTTGGTAATTGAATCTCCCAACTACCATTCAAATTCAAACAAAAGGGGCATTCCCGTCAGTTCACAAAATCAAAATCCCAGCTATCTTTCAAGCCAAATGTTCTCTCTGCTACATACAGAAAAAAAACCCTAAAACATTCTCTCATCATCTTCAGCCATGGGGATTCTATCTTGGTGGAAAGGCAACAAACAAGTTCAACCCTCCGACACCAAATCCGACCCGAAACCCAAATCATCACCCTCAAATACCGAAGTACCAGGCATGAACGGCGCGATGAAGGTGTCTCGACCCGACCCCCCAGTTGACGTCACGGTATTCGAATTCGGGTCGGTGGCCGCATCGGTTGATAAGGTTACGCTCGCCGGGTACTGCCCCGTATCCGACGACCTTGAACCCTGCCGTTGGGAGATAATGCCGGCCAGTGACTCCGACGCGCCTCAGTTTCGTGTGGTCTTCTGACAAGAGCTAGACGTGAGAAACGAAGGAGACCCATCCTTATGAGTTGAATTGTGAGTGAATATGGAAAAGCCGTTTTTATTTTGTATGATTCACTGAACTTGAAAGAATGATTAAACCCTAATTTTGGTTGTATTTTGTAGCGTCTCTTTATCTGGTCAGCTTTGGTTTCTTCAGTTTTATGTTAATTATCACTTGTTTACTCAAGAATTGAGATGCTTTATATATATATATATATATATGTATATATTAATTATCACTTGTTTACTAAAGAACTGAGATGCTTTATGTACACACATATAGAGTTATATAAACATAACTTATTTATCTACCCTCTTTTTTCATGAAAGGAGGGTACTTTTAGTTCTTTGGGTAAGTGAAATGATGAACTTGAACATGATCGAATAATGATTGAAATATTAACGCAGCTTGGTAAGTACTACTGATTTTGTTTTGTTTTGTTTTTGTGTGTGTGTGTTTTTATTTATTTTAAATATGTTAATTTTCACTTGTTTACTCAAGATGACGTTTGTGTGGGTATGTGTATATTATACATTTTCTTATGTTTTTATTTATTTATCAATTACATTTAATACCATGGTTTCCACCAAGAAAAGTGTGACGTCCCTCATCGCCTGGGGTGAAGTTCCTTACATTTATATGTGTGGACACCCCTTAACCATGTGTGGGCATCTTTCAACACCTTCGACTTGGTTTGTTGTCCCCCTCAGGATGTGCCCCCAAAGGAGGGTTGTTGTGAGCGAAGTTCCTTACCTTTATATGTGTGGACACCCCTTAACCATGTGTGGGCATCTTTCGACACCTTCGACTTGGTTTATTGTCCCCCTCAGGACGTGCCCCCAAAGAAGGGTTGTTGTGAGCTTGGGTGTTGTATCTTGGAGGACTAGTGATCCGATTGCACCTGCACGATAGGGAGGGCACTCTTCCTTTAGGACAATGCATTGCGTGCCTCACCTCTTGTCAAGCTAATTATTTCCTCTCTTTTTTTTATTTTTTATTTTTTATTTTATTTTATATATATATATTATATTTATCTTTTTTGGAAAATTTAGTGCAAATATATATTCGTATAATCATTCTCTTCTATTTTTGTTGATTTTTATATGTAACATACTGTTCTTAATACTTATCATTTAATTTGTGGTGTGTATATATATATATATATATATGTATGTACCCAACACCTTTCACCTTTTTTAGGTCATGTAAGCTAGAGGTTTCAAATGCTACAATCAAGTTTAATTTCTAACAGGAAGATTTTAAAAATTGGTTACTTATTTGATATACCTTTGTGAAATTCAAATGGATAAATCGAACAATGATACATTTGCTCACGTGCTTTGCATGTGCTTCTTTAGTGGGTGTGTGTATATATATATATATATAGGAAATTATATATCTGCTTGTGAGAAATAGTAAGGCAGCTTGGTAAGTACTACTGATTTTGTTTGATTTTTTATAGCATAAGCTAAATTGTCTATCTAATCATTTGGCTGGTTGGCTAACTTTCAGTAGGAAATTGCATGTGCAATTTTTTTAATTTTTTTTTAATTTTATCTTTAATAAGAAAAGCATTAAGTTAAAAGTTTTTGCTATGAATACGGCAGCATTGAATAAAGATGCATACTTGGTCAGTAATGCGGTTTCTAAGCAGTATAACGATTCTTGTAAGGATAAGTTGCTCTTCTTTAATTGCTTCACAAATGTATCAAAATGTCCAGAAATTTTATGAAGGATATGCTTAGTTTTTTAATTTGTCTACAGGTAAGCTGTGATTATCCAAACTGTTTTTTTGTCTCACACAACCAGAGCGCACACATAACTATCAATTGGACTGGTTGTAGAGTGGTGGTTGCATGTGCTCATACACTTGTGTTATTTTTAATGGGTACTTTTTTGCTTGGCAACTATAGATTTGGTAATCATCGTGTGTGCATATGAAATGTTAATGGGAATATGGTTGAGCTATGAATTAAATGTGAAAATTGATTGAGGTATATGTTAAGCTTACTTGGATTTCCAATATGTTTGGTGCCACGGGGTTGTCATGGGTGCAAAGATTACCATGTACCATAGTCACCCCTAAGGATCTGATCGAACTATGAACTGAAGAGGAGTTTGCCAAGCCTTTTAGGTAGACTTGCCGCCTCTTGTCTGCCTTAGGATCTGACTTCAGAGTCTGGTTCATGGGGTGCTCAATTCCGAGTTCTTCACATCATGCAAAAGATGCTTGGTATTACGGTTGCAGGTGTGTTGGTGGAGTTTTCAAACACTATCACATCTCGAGGGGCTGAACTTCTTTTTTCTAATTGTCTATGATCTGAATGTTCTATATTCTGGCTAGCCCATAGGGCTCTAGGGCATTACATGTGGATGGTGGGAGCAAAAGAGATGTGAACAGTTGTAATGGATTTAGGAAGGATATTTTATTATAGTGGTGTGTGTATGTATATTGATAAGTAAGAATTCATAATATATGTATATATGCCTAAATGGGGATGCGGCCCAGAACTACTGCTGACTGTTTTGGTTTTGCGATCTTTGTTGTTATCAAAGAATAAAGATGAGGTTCCGGTATATGATATTGGCCAATTTCCGGGATTTGGCTTTTTTTTTTTTTTTTTTCTTCGTGCAACGACATTTTATTTTGTAGGTTTTATAGTGAGTCTTACATTTCTGTTACTTTTTATGCAATTGCTAGTCAATAGTATATTTGTAATTGGAGATAGGTTTGATTAGCTGTTGTGGAAGTTGAATGGCTGCTTTTTGTGCCTACAATCTGTCTTATATTTTCCACAGTGTTTTGATATTTGTTGTTAGGAACTCCGGTCTTTGATTCTTACAGTGCTGTAGCCTGTAGAGCTTGTTACAAAGCTGTTTTCTAGGTTCTTTCGCAATCATCTAACCTTTGCTGGTGATTTATGATCGTGAGAAGAATTCACAATTGCGTATTTTTTTTTTTCTTTTCTTTCCCTAGCAGTATTTCGTGAGAGCTTGTACTATGATATTGTTTTGTAGGACAGATAGGAATGTTGAGGTGTAAATTTGATGTATGTTAAATGATTGCTAAGGATGTCTGAAGCACAGAATGTACTTGCTTTCCTCATCATCTTTTTTTGACAATGATTGTGGTGCCGGGCCTCTTAGAGCATCCCATAATCCACCATTGGGCAGTCCCCCGTCCCACATGCACCAGGCAATTACCGGGAAAATTCTATGGGGGATGGCCCCAAGGGGATTCAAGAGCTACAAGTTTTGAATTGTTGACTAAAAGCTGTTGGACACATCTCAAAAAATTGGAAGAAATATACAAGTCGACTCTTTGATGTAATGTTCAAGTTTTCTAATTCTGTATGGAATGTATTTCATAGAACACATCTTTAGATGCCTCCCTTCCCACCAGTTGTGATAAAATCCTGATCTATGTTGACCTATAATGGGCCCTTCTTGGTTGTTATCTTCTTCGATGAACTCAACAAAATTATAAATAAACAGTGTAAGTCAACATATTAGAGGCGATCATTGATTCTCCAGTCAACAGAGTACACTCTTAAAGAGAGAGAGAGAGAGTGTGTGTGTGTGTATATATATATATATATATATATTTGGTTTACTATGTTTGTAGAAATTCTGTTGCATAAATTTCCTGAGCTTAATCTAAAATGAAGTCTTATGTAGGCCTTTGTTTGGGTCTGCATCTTTAGTTTAAATTGCACTTAGACTTCACTAAAATGAACTTCTTTGTTTATGTTTCTTATATGTGTTTGATTTTTGAATTGTTGAATTCATTTTAGATTTTCTCTACCTCAATCTTGATGCTAGATTCTCAGATCTCAATTGTGTCTGTTTAAATTTTTTTACCCAAAAAAATGTTTAAATTCGATGCAAAAGAATATTCAAATGCTTGTTGGGTACTGGAGGAACACCAACTTCTAAATATATGTTTAACAAAGGTAGGTTTTTATCAGAGTGCAGTAGACTGCTTTGCTTAGGTGCAAGACTGTTTTTCAGTTTGTACGCATCTCGTAGTGCTCATGCATTCTCATACATATACATACATGTATGTATGTATGTATATATATATTTAAGGGGTTAATTACACTGATCTCCAATAACATTACCACAATTACAGGAACCTCCCTTAAAAATGAACATTATTACGCATACCTCTCCTCTTACAACATGCCCGCAGAAGCCAACTTTGTATAATATCTACTACTGTGGAGAGCCAAGTGTTTGTTGGGCTATTCCACACTCGTGGGCCCTATTACATATTGTACACTTGACACTACACGTATAGAGACTAGAGTAGCGACTGACAATGTTGGTTGTGTATGAATAATAATATAAAATGCAAAAATGATATTGTGTGATGGTGTATAGAATAATTATTGTATGTCATTTATTTAAGGTTTATTGTGTATGTTTTTCTATGTATATTCTATTAAATAATTAATATAAAAGAGTCATAATTTAATTAATTAAAAAGGAGTCATTTTTCCTAAATAAATAAAAAGAGTTATTTAATTTGTATAAGAATTTAATTAATTATTTTTTTAAAAAAAATATTGTACTTTTTGACTTGTCAATTTAATTTATTTATTTATTACATAATAATTTAATTAATTTGCATAATAATATAAATAATAACATTTTATTAGATTAAAAAATTTAAACATCTTCACAACATAATGATTTAATTAATTTGTATAATAATATAAAAATTACATTTTATGGCGCGTTATACAAAAGGGGCAATTAATTGTAATGTTTACTATTTTTTTTTTCATGTGTGGAAGTATTAATGTATATATATATATTTTTTTCGTGAGTTTTATTGTTTAATTTTATTTGCAGGAAGTTATGTAATGCACTTCTTCTTTTATATATGTAATATTATTATATTTTAATATTATTTTTTTTTAAAAAAATCTTTTATCTAAACATATAATCGGAGCAACACAATTATAGCCTATTATAGTTGTTGAGAATAAAACCGTTGGGATTATTTTCCGAAAAAAAAAAAAAAACTGTTGGGAAAAAAAAAAAATAATTTGAAAAAATAATTTTATTTTTTTAAAAATAATAATATAATAAAGTGTAGAATGAAAAAATGAGTGCACAACAAGAACTTCAAGTCTCCAAAATAAGTGTTGAACCAATTGCTGATGTGGTTCTACACTTTAGTTAAAGTGTATAATGAAAAGGAAGGAGCCAACTGGGAATGCTTTTAGTAGCGGACCGTTAAATACACTAACAAACTTATCTAAATTACTAAAATACCCTCTAGTTGCTGACCAATATATTTATGTTTTCCAAGGTCTTCCTTTCTCTCTCTCTCTCTCTCTCTAACCTCTCTGCGGACCCATTTTTCCCATACACACAATCTTAATTCTTCAATTTCTCTCAATTGTATAACACAGACAAGGAGCCAAAAGCCTCAATGATGTGAATCTACGGAAAAGTTTCTTTGATTTTGCCTTTGAAGTTCCAATTATTCCAATGGTGGCTTTGAAATTTGGGAAAGTTTGTTGTATTCCATCGAATACTTGTCGGGAAAACAATAATTGTTTTACATCTTTAATTGACTTCGTTTCTGCATCAGAATTTCTTATCTAAAAATTTTTCCATTTCAAAAGAGGCACTAACAATTACAAACCAAATAAAGGAATGACTATAAGGAATGTTCTTTTTCATTCTTGCACACCAAACGTAACTTAATGAAATTCACAACTTCATATATGTAAGGTGTTTCTTGTAATACGTGCAAGGAAAGGTAATATATAGAAGAGTGTTTCTCGTAATACATGCAAGGAAAGTGAATAATTCTTTGCAAAAATCAGAATTTAGCAATGGTTTGGGAAGCTACATAGAATGACCACTTGATGGGAAAAATTGTTCGGTACAGGTGTACCAAGGGTCTATGTTCAGTTGGTGGGTCTATGTTCTACCCCGCCGGAGTTGTCAGAACAGCGACGGAAAATGTAAGTGAGGTCAATTCTATCGCCGGTGCTTAGAAAACTCATCTTCTCGTCCGACCCCATTCAACCAACTGCAAGAAACCTGATAGATTGTTTTCAAACACCCTCCTTTTGCCATTGCCAAGTTCTTTTTGATGTCTCATACTTTTAGTTGCCGATCACAACTAAATCCTACCAGTCACCAGTGGTTCCTTCGATATACAGGACCGATGAAATTGCAGCTGACCTTAAAATTTGAAAAACATCATATTGATGTAATAATTGAATCTCATCAGACACATCATGGAAACTAGAAACTATCCTTGCAGTTCAATATTAGTTTACATCCAACAAATTTATGCTCAAAGCTTATCCAAAATTCCGAGTTCTGCAATAAAACAAAGCTCCCCTTAATAATTCATGGAAGGTACCTGTTAGAATTCCCCAAACCGACTTTTCTTTTCATAAAAATGATAGATTAACATCTTGAAATGAAGTGAGAAGCCATCTCGGAAGAAAATTATTAGGAGCTGCCAAATCCAAGGAACTGATCCACTAGTTGTGCTACGGATTTAGCTAGGTTGTCTGCTGCTTCCTGGGTCGTGGCCTCTGCATATACTCGTATAACATCCTCTGTACCTGATGGTCGTATAAAACAACGGCCCCGATGGTACTTCGCTGCATAAACAAATTAAATAGAATTTCCACATAAGTAACATTTGATGCCACATCTTATTTATAACATTATTACATTTTGTAGTTGTAATTATCATTTAACAAAATAAATGTTCAAGTTTTGCCATATGCACACCAACACTTGCACTACTTGAAGGATCTGGAATGCACATAAAGGTTTTTTTTTGTATTCTTGAGCGAATAGCTCTCATGCACAGTATTAATTTAGTTATGGTACAGATATAAGATCTGGCCAAACATTAGATAGAGAACAAAAAGACAATGAAACTGATCAATATATTAGAGTAAGAATTGGTACCCTAGTTTAAGAAATCAACTTTCAGTTATAATGTGCATTACCAATTTCAGCATTGATGGCTTCTTGAATGCCAGGGGGAGTCACAACCACAGTCTCTGTGTTTGCTGTAATGAGCGCAGTTCTGTCAAGAACCTTAACCTGAGAATGGATTAAAAACGACAAAAGTTGAGGCATCAATGTCCAACTTGAAAATCAACGATCTTACTTTCAAAAAAGAATGCTTAAAAGAGCAAGTTGTTCGTTAGTCAACTTGGTGCGTACCCCCATTCAAGTTATAATAGAAGTTCAAAAACCAGAATAAAAAAAAAAAAATTAGAAAAACACCTTTAAGGTGAGATTATTAATCCCTAAATGGGTGCAAGGAGAAATTGAAGTTGTATAAGTGCGGGAGACTTTGCAATTTTGATACATTATCCACTCGGGACCACTAAAAACCAAATTGTAGAGATTACTATGCTCACAGAGTCATAGTGAATGTTTCACAATTCCAAATTAACCAAACAAATGTTTTACGTGGTATAAACATGTACAATCTGACAGCAAGATTCCTACTCGGTATGAATCATTTCCTAAGAATCAACAACTTCACAGCTGCTAAATCTTTATATGACATAATCTACCTATGATTTTCAGGTCTAAGAAGTCATTCTTCATATCTCACTTTTGAAGGGCCATTCCCTCTGCCCTGGTGCAACAATAAAATTTGACTCAGAAGCATGGGAATGCAGGCTTTGCATCTGAGAGTAGCTAACTCCAGTCTTCCCTTCCCAATACCCTGTGGAGGCCGTACATTGGATAATGCATTTTCTATCCCATCATTACTTTAACTTTAAAATTCCACATTCCATTTTGATTAAGTGGATAAGAGAGAACGGTCGGTGGAATAAAAAAAATTATCATCGAGGTTAAGAAACAGAGCACTGAAGGTTCAACAGAACTAAGCAAGCAAGACAAGTATTAGAAATTTAGTTTCACACACCAAGGCCCCAGTCCCCTAGATATGGAAGAGACAATCTGACGTGATCTTAAGCTTAAGCTTTGTGCGCCCTGTAGATAACGTGCTTGTGGGTCTACTGGGATATATAATTGAGCTTGTCATAACAGGTGGACATGGAAGACCTTGATTGTAAGGCCCACTCCCCAATCCCAGAAGTGAGAAAAGGCAGAATCCATCTGCTGGGACTAATGGAAAAGAATGACAAAAAAAATAGTCTTTTTTCCCACCGTAAGGTGACATCATGCTGTCCTTCAACAAAAAAATGGATACATAAACCCTCAGTTCACAAACAATTTTGCAATTAAACTTCGCTATGCCTAAACTATTCTTTTTGCTGAAGTTTGTTTGATTTCCAACGTCTGTACCAATGATTTATGAATGGTCGTAAGCAATCCTAAAAGAATAAATCAGAATTTTCTCAAAACCCTATTTATGGTTACCTATTAATGGTTATTAAGGTTGACTTTGCAAAAGAAAATTACATGTGGCCTCTTCAAAGTCCATTGAACATTTTTAGTCTAGCTTTAAAAAATCAAAATCTAGTGAAAAAAATGTCCACTATTGTTGTACTTGTTGCTACAACATATCAACACTCAATTCACACACACACACACACACATATATATATATTTAGTATTTGTTATATATTTTAAAATTCAAGAGAAGAAAATGAATGCTCAACATTTGACAGCCGTATTTATCAGCTGTCATCTATTTCTTGTCTCTATTTATTTAAGTTGTATTCTCATTTTTTTTAAAGGTTGTAGTTGTATATTTTTCTCTTTATAGATTATATCAAGAACAGGAAAACACTATCATGAGGACACTCTTATTATTGCAAAGCTGTGAGGTCTGTTTATTATTTAACAGTTACAAGAATGCAAACTTTGTGAGAGTATTCTCATGGTAGACATACTCTTGTGAATATATATTAAGAATTGTATTGTAAAGAAAATTTGTTACAATTATTCTATAATTTTAAAAATTTTAACTAAATATTATTTGTTTCACCCAACCCACAAATTAATATTTCTAGCTTTACCCCTGAATCAGATAGCAAAAAGTTGAAAAGGTCAAAAAGAATCATCAAGATGGCAAGAAATATACCAAAGGACTCTATCCTTTAACGGATTCATGTAAGACACCAAACCAAAACTGCCTATACAATAGATTCTGATTGAGCTCACTCCACAGTGAGTTGATAAAATATTTAAGCACAAGCATATAGGAGTTCAGCAGCAATTTAGTCAGCTATTAGATGTCCAACTTGCTGCTCCATTGTGTTGTCAAAGTAGTCAATGCAATTCAGGAACTATAGAAGCATATTTGCACTTAAAGCTTTTGTATTTTCAGGATTTGATTATTTTCATGAATTGATACAACTACAAAGAATTAATAGTTAATCTCTAAACTAACCCATGCTACGTACATATTAGCAATCCTATCATGAAAGAAACCTACACAAAGATGAGAGAGCATTCATAGAACTTCTTCAAAAGACTAACCTTAAGCTGTCTACTAGGTAAATCATGATAAAGCTCATTCCACCTGTGGATTGACCATCCCATATGTCGCAAGGTGACCTCCACTAGAAGCAACCCACTCAGTGCATCTCCCACCGCCTGATTAATCAACTTACTGATTACTAATAATCTCAAAGTAGCCTTGTGCTCTTCTGATCCTGATACGTGCAATCAATAAATCATGAAATTTAGTAATTTAAAACTATATCAGCAAGACATAATATTGGTGTAAGGTGAATGAGAAATAACCTTTTGACGTTGAAGAAAGCTCATTATTTCTACCCTCTAACCAGCATAAGAAATTATCTGAGAACAATATGGTTCCATGCCCATTTGCCTCAAAATAGATGCCGATGTCATACTCAGCTGCTTTCTCATGCAAGTATTTCACTCCTGTAGGAGTAAACACGACTTCTAAGCCCAAGTGTTTCAGGTAATCCGTGGATGCCCCATTTGCATATGCTGTCTGTACAACACCTAGACGAGCTTGATAATATTTATTTACTTTTTCATCTTTGTGGTTGTTGAGGATACTCAGTTGCTCCTTGATAAAAACAGCAAACAAAGACAATATCTTGTCCCCATCAACAAGATCAATTTTGTTGTTACTATTTGATAGCACTGAGAAATATACAAGCCGATCAGCATCTCCATCCAAACTTGCACACCTGTAACACGAAGCCCATCCAAGTAGTTAGTTCCTGTTTCTGGTTAACCATTAGCAAACCCCACAACAAAAGTGTAGCATGCTTTGAAGATTTTGCAAGTTTAACTTGGGACTTGGCCTCGTCAATTTTTGGTTTTAGCTCCAACTGAGAATAAATTATCACCAAAAAATTGGTTGTATTGAAGAAAATAAGGATATATCAACTATCATCTAGCTTTAGTGAATTTAACAGCAATGATTTGGCTATCAACTATAACTTGGAAATGAACTGTACCATCTAGCCAAACATGACGTGCATATCAGATATGCTGCTCTCAACAGCAGTATTTTGCCAACAGATACAAATGTTTTACTCCATATCAAGGAGCAAGTCAGTGTGCAAAATAGATATACATAAAAAAGAACCACATATATTTCAAATTATTATGTACTTTTCAACATTTCTCTAACAATAAGTGTAATGAACATATACGTGTATAAAAACAAAATTTGAAAACAAAAGTACAATTTAGAGTAGTTGCTTATATAAGAGAATTCTATGAAGTGAAGTCACACTTGAGAAGATTACACAATAGGAAGATGGCTAACCTTATCCCAACATCAGCAGGACCAAAATTACATGGAACAACCTTCTCTTTCTGCACATAATCAGCTCCCACTCCTTCATTGAGCACACCTCCTTTACCAGAGTTGCGTATCTCTATATCCAGGCCATTCAACATCTTCTTAAAAATTTCAAGTTTTTCTCCACCCACACCATTTGCCCCATCTACAATCAAATTGTCATTCATCTCTTTCATTACACTTTCCTGAGGGATTAAATCCATCAGGCACCTATCATACATTAACACATTAAGCAAATATCTAATATTGAAATCCATTTAACACAAACTGCTGAACTATAAACACCAGTTGATAAAACTAACCTGAATGAGCTCGAAAGCTGATCAAAGTAGTCAAGTTCAGATGCTTTCATGCCCTTATTTCTAGCGCGAACCATCCAATGTAGTTGTGGGGTTGTAAGGACTCCCATGTCAGTGGCAACAGCTCTGACTACTGATTCGATTCCCTTTAATTGAGCATCAATCAAAAGCGATCACATATATAATAAATATATAATATGCATTAGGTCAATAGAACTTAGGGTGGAAAATTACGTTATAAAAGCTTTAGTCTGTATTTTTGTTTAAATTTAAGATAGATACCTAAAAGTTGGTGTTAGTTGCTGACCTAATGTCCAATGGCATATTCAGAAGATAAAGCTACAATTAGAGGTGTTAGTAAATAGGACGTAGGTTAACATATTTCGTGAATCAAAACTAGAGTCTGTAATTTTGTTTTTATTTTTTAGCTTAGTTAGAATTTTAAAAGTTAGTTAGTCTCAAGTTAGTTAAAACTTATGGTCAAAGATGGAATTCAAGTTTCAACCAAGGCTAGAAGCGTAATCTTCGACACCAAGGGTACAAAGGTAAATTTGACACTACCATGCACTTGCCAACTTAGGGTTCATGCATTAGTGTTTCAAGAATTCATGATTTGATTGGGAAAATCCTAGTTGATATGCATCAAAAGCGTTTTTGGGAACTTCCTAGTTTACATAATTAGATTGATAAGTGTTATATTAGTGTGTTGACACATATTTGTTTTGGAGCTGATTTGAAGAGTTTGATCACCAACAATCATTCCATCAAAGTTATCAGACCAAGATTGGAGTGGTCAACTGGTCTAGAGATCAAAATCGCTATTGAGGAAACAGATTTGTGGGGAGTGAAATCTATTGATTGTGCAAATTGTTTGCCTAGAGACTCAAGTGAAAATTTTCGTGGATTAGGATGTGTCAAGAGGTAACTAGGAATTCTGAAGTATTTGAACTTTAACCTAGTGAATTTTTTTTATCTAATTGACCTAGCTCCCATGGCTTTCCCGTTTGAGTTTTCCACATAAAAAACTTGGTGTCCATTGGTCCAAAATGTTTACATAATTTTTAACTAAATTTACATAATTTAGTTAAAAATTCAAAATGTTTGTTATGATTAGTTCAAACTAACATCAAGACATATTCACTCCCTCTAGTTCTAGAACACACTCTCTATAAGAGCCTAAGGTTTCGGTCCTTACCCCATCAAAGGTAAAAAAAGTAAATTCACCATTAGGATACATGCATTCATCAATTATTGTTTCATACTTACATATTTTGATCCATAAAAAAAAAATATTTGAAATGCATAAACATGTTTTTGGAAATTGCCTTAAACAAAATCCTAATATGAATAGGACATGGCACTTCGATCGATCAAGAGATCAATTGAAGGCTATTATTTCTATGTGGATCGATCAACACTTCGTTCCACCGATTGAAACATGCAAAATTCGGTGTACCACCTATCTTCTGGAAAACACACAAGCAGTTACATACAATATCTCTAAGCATATAATTCAAAATGAGTGCATTTTAGCAAATTCTCTGCGAGAGTTGTTCTCTGATTCATACTTCATCATTGCATTAGATGGTGAGAGTGTGGGTTTGAGGTGTTGATCATAACTTCTACTGCATTTACGAATTACTACTGAAGAGTCCTACAACAGGACAAAAAAGAAGAACAAAAAACTCGGACAACTGGTCGTGGATATCAAAGCGCTAGTGGAGAAATAGATTGCTCGAGGAGCAGAAGACTTGGAGACTTGAGTAGAGAGTGTGGTTCAAAAGGTAACTAGAGGTTTTCTGGGACCTAGTTGTAAAATCTCTTTCACATTGTGGAAATGCAGAGTTAATCCACCTAGACTAGGTCCCATTGCTTTTACCCTTAGGGTTTTCACATAAAAATCATGTGTTCATTGTGAATTATTTAGTTTAGGTATTTTAATATGCATTACGATCATGATGAATTAATTGATTTATACATTACGCCTAGACTTAGTTTAGTTTTTGAATTGTCGTTATTGTCGTTATAGTAAGTTGAACTGATTTATGGATTATGATCATGATGAATGAATTGATCACGAAGAAGAAGAAGTTGTTAAAATCCATCAGTTAATTACTTATCAAAAAAAAAAATCCATCAGTTAATCAATTTAGACCTATTCACCACCTCTAAGGTTACGGTCCTATATTTCTCAATAAGCATTGGTAAGAAAACTTTGGCATTATTTTGCACATAGTAATTGTTGATTGCTCTCAGACTTGAATCTGAGGCCTCACGCTTTTCACTCAAACTTTTACCTTGAAGGAAGCAATGACCCTAACCCCTACCTGATATATAATATGTATGTAATTATATAAGTACATGGAAAAGCTATTTCTTTTTTTACTATTATTAAATATAGTACAAATTGGCCCATGTAAATTTACTGAATCCTAACCACTCTTATAGAATTGAAGGTGCATATTACAAGTGCACACTGATGTCAAAAGCAGGATGTGAAAGGAAAAAGTGACAAGATGAAGGGATAGATAGGTGAAAAGAACAAAGAAACACATTGAGGAACTGAGATTTCAAATTTTAATTTACAAAGAAAATCAGCTCTTCAGATCAATTTAATTAAAAAAAATAGTCAAGTGTCAAGTGGAAGTGCAGTGATGTACTATGCAGGAGGCATCCCAACAAATAATAGACTTGAAGCTTGTTCTTACATGACTTGATCAATTCAATTAGGCACCCCATAGCTGCTTTCATTATTCAACTTTTTGACAATACAATAAAACCACCGTTCAATTCTTTGACAATAAGAAAAAATTAAAAGCTCTCCCCTCCCCCTCTATCTATCCAAGTGATGGAAAAATAGAGGCATTTGGTGTCCCCAAGTCAAGAATTTGGGCCTCACAATTACTAGCATAGCAATAGACTGGAGCATCCAATTGAAATCCCAGCGATTTCAATTGGAGGCCATACAAAATAGGTCCACTTGCATTAGAAGCATGTAATTATGGATTAATATGAACTAGCAAAACTATACTACTATATAAATGTCAATGGCATTTTTAGTTTCTATATACATTTTTTAAGAATAGTCAATCATCCCATTTTTCAATATCGATTGATCGATTACTTATTCATTTATCAACTTCTCATATATCAACCAAAATTAATTTATAACAGACTTTTCATTTTATTTGCGTGTGTCCATCCACATTCCTCTTTTGTTTAGGAAACAAATATATACTACTTAATTTATATACCTTTTTAATGAATAATGAATCACATGTTTTTTTTTTTTTAAAAAAAAAATTTACATAAAAGTTCATGTTAGTTAAGAGGGTTGTCTTTTTTTTTTTTTTTTTTTTTTTTTGACGTAAAATAATTAAAAGGAAGTCATACTTGTTTTGCAGCTTCGAGGAGAGACTCTCCACTAGGCCTTGTGTCTCTTCCCAGCATTACCTCTGCTGATTGTGAACCTTCAAGCGGAATGTTTTCCTTCTTAACAAATTCATCTAACGACTGTTCTACAAGGAAGAGAGAGAATAAATAAAAGGAAAATCAAATTATTTTCTAACATCTATACAATCAATAAAAGCAAAAGAACACATATGTACCACCAATTCTATGGTAAAATTTTACCAATTTCTCACTATTCAAGCCGTCAACTAAACTAGAGAGAGAATAAGAGGGAGATCAATAAGATCCTAACCCCAGTATGAAGACAATAGAGGCTTACCCATTCCAATTACTTCAAGCCATTGACAAACTTATAAAAGGGTGTGTGTATATATATATGCCTACTTATACATGGACACGTACTTAAATACGCAGTATATATGCAAGTGTATGTGTTTAAAAGGGCGTTCTTTAACCATTCGTTCCTCTTCAATTCATTGGCAAAAAAAAAAAAACCTGCAAATTGCATAAATGTGTTTGTGTCTAGTTAAGCACAACACGCATGGTTATGGGTGTCTGGTGTGCGTGTATACACAAATACATACATAGATATGAACATATGCGTGTGTATATATAGAGATAGAGATAGAGAGAGGGACCTGGACGAAATGTTGAGAATCAGGGGCATTGGCGAGGGCATCACAGTAGGGCTCCCATTCCATCGTCAACATGCCACCACTTGGGTCAGCAATTTTGACACCATTGTCGGAGACTTGGTTGTGAGAAGCAGTGATCATCACTCCAATCACGGATTGGGTCTTTAGCGACCTCAATGCCGCCAAAATCCCAACCCTAAACACCGTCGATTGGAGGATTGATGCATCGGCTCTGAACCCAGACGTACCGTATGATAGCTTCACTCCTTCAGATCAAATTCAAAATTCAACATCAATTCAACGTCAAACAGTCATATCATGATCAATAACTTCGAACACTTCGTGAGTAGAAGTGTTTGACATGAAATCAACGGTTTGAAACAGACCTTGTGGGGGAGGGAAACGAGCAGACGATTCGATGAAGATTGATCGCTGTGTTTCGTTCATCTTTTTGTCGAAGATTTCTAGAGAGAGAAAAACTGGTTTGGGAGCTTCGAATGGCACGGCTTTGTATGATTGTAACACTATGCTGTTGGTACCAAGACCATGTATGGCTCGGTAACTGACATACCACGCAGCGATAGACGATCATCAGTCAACAGAACTCCAATTTGGGTCGACCTTAATCAAATTCGGATCTTAAATGGGCCGTCACAATTAATATGTTTAATTAATGGTGTTTTGTTCGATTTAACTTGTGTAAACCTCTCCAATGAAATTTCTCTTCTAGCATCTCCAAATATTTAATCTTACGCCTGTTATAGCACTACATTACCAACTTACCATCCCATCATTAATTTACCAAACTTAATTAATTAACTAATAAATAGAGTATTTTTTGGACTAAAATTTCCAAGATAATAATTAGGGCAATTTTCCATCCCGCTAAAACTTTCACTTTACTTTTTGGCAAATTCAATTTTAAGAGGAAATTTTTTTTTTTTTTTTTTTCACTTTACTACATGGACATGTTGGTATTACTTATCAAAAAAAAAAAAAAAATTAAATGGACATGTTGGTATGATAATTTTTTTTTAAAGTAGCATAATAAGGCTAAGACATGGTAATAATATATATTTTTATATAGAAATTAATATATAGCATGGCAAATAAAAATTGTCTGATTGTAATGTGAAATATATATAACTCATAAATCATGCAATTAGGATCAATCTCGCAAGATATAAAAAGGCATAACAAGGACACAACATAATCCAATGACTTCTCATTTACTCTTATGTCCACTCATTCAATAAAATGTTCTCTCTTTTGTTTTGTTTTGTTTTTTTTTTTTTTTCAAACTTTATATAATTTGCATTTAAATCTTTAAATTGACTATATATATATATATATAAATTTTTATTTTTATTTTTATTTATTATTTATTTTTTAACTAAAAGAAACATTTACTATGGAGATTCTTTTGTGTTTTGTGGGTAGCTTGAGACTATAGTTTTTGTGCAGTTGTTTGGGGCCCCATTTTTTTTCCCTTCATCTACTCTGTTTTTTCTTTCTTTCTTTCCTTTCTTCTTCTACTTTTTTTTTTTTTTTTTTTTTTTTTTTTTTTTTTTCAATCTCTGACTTTTTTTTCCTTTTTCTTCCTCTAATCTCTATCTTTCGTTTTTTTATCCCTTCTTCTTTGAAGGCTGTCTGTCTCTTTTTTGTTGTTGTTATGTTTTTTTCTTCTTTTGAATGCAATTTGCTGAATTTTGCTACATGCTGTTTACTAGATTATTTAAATTTTGAATGCATCTTTCTGAATACTGTTTGCTGAATAGTCTGAATGTTGTTTGCTAAATTTAAATTGGTCCATCACTCCATTGACTCCATTCTATTTCTCATTGTAAATAGATAAGAAAAAATGTTTGTTCTATCTCTCAACCTACCAGGTCAGTTCATTGCTGAATGTTTGTTTTTTGAATTCTTCCATTTGTTATTTTTCTTAGAGGAGTTTTATTAGTTTAATTGTTCTATTTTACAGGTTGTTTTATTGGTTTAATTGTGATATATTTAGTGTTTTTATTATGGGATGATCATTGTTTAATTGTGTTATTTTTGCAGAGAATTATTGTTTTAAAATTTTACTTATGTGCCACTTGTGCGCCTCACATCACTCAGGCGCGCGCCTCGCGGTGCGCCGAGGCTCCAAGGGACCACTAGCGCCTCGGTGCGCCTTGGGCTTTTAATAACTATGCTCCTATGTCCACTCCTTCAATAAAATGTTCCTTCTTTTGTTTTATTTTATTTTATTTTTAAATATTGATCAAACTTTATATAATTTGCATTTAAATCTTTAAATTGATTTTATTTTATATATATATATATATATATAATTTTTTTTTTCTAACTAAAAGTAACATTTACTATGGAGATTCTTTTGTGTTTTGTGGGTAGCTTGAGACTATACTTTTTTGTGCAGTTGTTTGGGGCCCATTTTGGTGCTTTTCAATGAATACTTACTTATCAAAAAAAAAATAAATAAATAAATGAAACACTTCTCGAGCATTCATGCTTAGTTGGTTACATGTTATCACAGGTTTAAATGTTCATTCAACATTAAAATTTTATTTTTTTAACATGGATATGTTTAAGATGTGTCAAACATGTTAGGGAAAGTATTTGATGAAGTGTTGGTGCCCGACAAGGTCATAGTTCGATAGTTTTGTCCAGGGCCGGCCCTGAGATTCCAAATATTGTGAGAGACCCTAGGCAAACTTTTAAATGTGAGGCCCTTAAGTTTCACACGCGCAAAAAAAATTATAAGAATGCAAAATTTTCACATGATGTTTTCAAATTCTATAACTAATTTAATTGTGCGCATGTGTATTGTGCATAAGACAACTAACTAATAACTATTATCTTCATTCATTAAATCTTCATGTTCATTGACTAACTTCCTGTGATCTTCATTCATTAAATCTTCATGTTTATTGAGATTTTCTTCATTTGCTTTCGCATTCATGTGTTCTTCATTCACCAAATCTTCAACAAAACTTTCTATTTATGTATTGGTCCTAAAAAACTTAAGATTATCTCCTTTTTGAGATCGAATCAATTCTTTTTTTTTTTTTTTTCATGCCCAGATTCAAATTTTCTTGTAGACATAATGAAATCTCTTGAAATCCAAATAACAGGAACCATAATCAACATAAAACTAGACTTCAAAATAATAATAATAATAATTTGCTTTGTTTAAAGAAAATATATATTACCTCAATATGCAATGATTTGATTCAAGTTCAAGGCAAATAACCTCACGAGATCCTAAGAAGAGTGTCGTGCTCGCATATGAAAGAAGATCACAATTAACATAAAATGGATGGAGAATCAAACAAAAACAATAATAACTAAGCATTGCCGATCATACAATAAATATAGTTAAAAAAAAATCTAAAATCAAGTAGTTTGGTCTAATGATCTCCTGGCTGGAGTTTTCGCTGGAATCTGGAGGAGAGGAGGGAAGACAAAATACAGTCCAAAAGTGGAAATGAGGAACAAAAAACTGCAGCTTCTTTTTTACATTCGTTGTTTCTATAGCTGCTAAAAATTGACGATTACAGCTGACAAAAATATGTGGAGATGAGGTGACTATATATATATAGGAGGCTGAACTTGTAGTGCTGAAGAAGTAGTGGGACTTTTAGGTTATATGTGGCATCCACTATCATGTATAGTTTTGTCTTTCACTCTTTATATTAACTACACTTTGTGTGTGTGTTTTTTTTGGGAGCCAATTACCCCTTTCTTGATTTCAGGATGAGGAATCAACTTTAGTAGCAGTGATTGATTGATCATTGCTACAGAAGACCTGTTCAAATTAATAGAAAAAACCATTAACTTTTGTTTTGTTAAAGCCTGCTCTTGATTTCCACGTGTTTGTACATTCTGATGGCAAGTGCTTTGATAGTATTATTAACTGAAATTCTAGCTGAGCCAACTTCAAATAACATCAATAATGGTGGTATGTATCTTCATATAAAAATAAAATATTAAAAAACCCTTAATTTGGCACTTTTAAGTATGAGCATAATTTAGAGATCGAAAAAGTTAATTATTACCTCAACGGCTCAACCCAGAAGGGATCCTTAATTTTCGTAGGATTGAATGTGAAAATGCCAAAACTTATGACGAAAAGGGGTATGATTACTGCTGTTGTGAGATTGGAGTGGAATTAGGGAGAGGGAAAAAAAAAAAAAAAAAAAAGTGCCTGCCATAGATTATGGACTCGATCGCCATGAAAGACATATGTAGAAAGGTACACATTTATTAAAATACTAAGAGAACCATAATATATTCATTCAACTTTTGATAGCCATTACACACAGTGACACACACACACAAAAAACCCTAGTTTGGAAGCTACTTTTCACTATTGGAACAAAGGTAAAGGCCTGAATCAAACGAACCAAAGGTCCAAAGTTAGAACAAATCAAATGATGAGATGAACGAAAGAAAGAAACATATATAAAAGATCGATTCATGCAAAAGGAGAGAGAAGAGAGAAAGAGGATGAACATACCTTGTCACCTGAGGCGACAGCGGAGGCTGCGTCCTGCGGAGTGTCGAAGCAGATTGTGTCGTTGAAACTTGCCCTCCTAAGGCCATCTGCACCAGTCTCTCCGGATTTTGGCTCTCTAAAAATTCCACTTCAGCTTTTCCAAGAACCACGTCAGCAATTCCAAGAGGTCAGCAATTTTCGCTCTCCAGAAACATGCACTTCATCAGGCTCTCCGAATTTTCACTCTTAAAAAAAAAAAAAATTTAAATTTTAAGATTAAAAATAATGAATTAGAATAAGAAAATAAGAATTACAAAATCCTATGGGAATAAGAAAATGAAATTTTAAATTTAATTATTTTAAAAAAAAAAGTTTTACAAAATTGAATTTTTAAAAAAAAATTTACAATATTCTAACCTTTAAGGCACTGTTTGTGTCAGCCAAACAGTGCCTTAACGGTCAAATGCACTGTTTATGGCAGTAATTTAAAATTTAAAGCAAATTTTTTTTAAAAAAAAATCAAATTTGAAGGAAAAAAAAACAAAAAAAAAAGTTTTTTAATTTATTTTTGGCACAAATAATTTATTTTTTGGACAAACAGTGTCTAAACAATATATTTTTTTATTTATTGAATTTTATTTTATTTTATTTTTTAAAAAATAAGCTCAAAATAACATATTTTGGGTTTTTTCAAAAAAAAAGGTAGGCTGCCAAACAGTGCCTTAAGGCACTGTTGGCACTGTTGCAGCCTGAAGTAAAAAAAGAAAAAGAAAAACCGCTTCAGGCAAAACGTCGTCGCTTTGCTAAGGAAAAAGACAAAAAAAAATTTCCGCGATCGGGCTCGGGCTCGCGGAATACCGCGAGCTGTTGTTGGCCCCGCCCAATTCCGCGAGGCTTCTGGAGTGGGTTTGGTTTGTTTGGCTCGCGGAAAGGGCCTTCCGCAAGCCCACTGCGGATGCTCTAACTTAATACTTCCTCTCTTTCTTTCTTTCTTTCTTTCTTTCTTTTTTTTTTTTTTTTCAATCCCTTGTGGGCCTCAAAATTTGAGGCCCAAGGCGACCAAGAATTGTCCTAACTTTAATTTATTCATTTTTTTTTTTTTTATAAGT